TTCTTCCTAGTAATATTAAACTAACCATTTATAACTCTTTATTTCGATTATTTACAGAATATGGAATTTCAGCAGAAACAAATATTCAGAAATGAAACAAATTCACATTTTACAGAAACGAGCAATAAGATTAATTGCTAACTCAAAAGCCACGCCTCTAGTGATCCTCTTTTCCTTAAGTATAAGATTTTAAAGATTAATGATCTGGTAGACTTTAACCAAGCTAAATATATGTTTAAATATACACATATACTTCTTCCTGCATCTTTTAAAACATTCTTAAAAAGCTTGGAATCTTTGAAAGATCTCTTAACTATCAACTTGACATTCTCAAAATTTGCTCATTACAGTATTTACCATCAAGCTCTCTTCTTAAGATGTGGAATAACCTGCCTCTTGACTTAAAAAGAAGCAACTCTCTAAGTATATTTAAAAATAGACTACTAAATTCTCTTTTTGAAAATTATAGGACAATGTGTTATAAACCGAATTGCTATTCATGTAAAACTAATTAGATATGTTTGAATATGCTTTGATATTTGTTGTGTACATGTCTGAAAATTACTTTAAACTCTAGTTATTCAAATTTATGTATAAACTATTTTGCATATGATAAATTTGCACCCTGATCTCTAATCCTTCTCCTTAAATCTATTTAATTGAAATATTTTGTTATTATTACTAACATTAGGTGGAAAAAATAATTAAAACAGCCTAGAGCTATTTTCCACCTAATTGCTTTATACTTGTACTGTTAATATAATCATCAATTTTGTGATTGTAAGCTCTATCTGTATACAGATACATTTATTATAGCAATAAACTTTATCTTATCATATCTTATCTTACACACAAATTTCTCCCCGTACATTTACGGTGCTATGGAAACGCCTCAACACAGAAACGGACCCAAAAGTGAGTTTGGGTCAGTTTCCTTCTTTTTTCAAGAATTATCGGAAATCCCTCAAAAACTAAAAAGTGTAGAGGGATTTCCGAATATTTTGGGTCGGTTTCCGCTATATTTACATTTATTTTGTTTCCCGTATTTTTGGGTCCGTTTCCTCTTTTTTTAGGGTCAGTTTCCGGTTTTCAGAAAAAGTTTTAAACTCTCAGTTTGTTGATTGGTTTCCCCTTTTTTTTGGGTCCATTTCATCTTTTTTTGGGTCCGTTTCCTCTTTTTTTGGGTCTGTTTCCGATTCTAGGGGGGGGGGTAACTACCCCCAGGATGGGGGGGGGGGGTAAATAACCCCAATAACCCACCTTAGTTACGCTTGGTTATTATTGCTTAGTTGATGATTTGGCAAAGATAAAAACAAGTTATCTTACAAATTGACAGTATAATTTTCTGAAATCTCATCCTTTGAGGGTAGCCCTGTATATTTCCTAAAAGTTGCAGGAAATGTTTTGAGCAGATTTTGAGGAACAGTTTTGACCCAGATAGAGATGAAAACTCCAATTAAAGCCAAAACCGTAATATTTTATTTTAAACCAGATACTAATGAAAATTAATCGAAATTCGAAAATAATGAATTTTTTTCTGGAAACCGGAAACTGACCCAATAAATGAGGGAACCGATCAAAAAAGGGTACAAACCAAACTGGGATACTAACATTTTTTAAAAACCGGAAACGGGCCCAAATAAAGAGGAAACCTACCAACAGAATGAGATTTTAAAATTCTTTATTGAAAACCGGAAACACCTAAAACAAGGGGAAACCTATCAACAAACTGAGAATTTAAAACTTTTTATGAAAATAGGAAACGGACCAAAAAAAATGAGGAAACAGACCCAATAAAAGAGGAAACCGATCAAAAAACTGAGATTTTAAAACTTTTTTTGAAAACCGGAAATGGACCCAAAAAAAGAGGAAACGGACCCAAAAAAAAGAGGAAATTGATCAACAAACTGAGAATTTAAAATTTTTTTTTGAAAACCGGAAACGGACCCAAAAAATGAGGAAACCCATCAAAAACTGAGATTTTAAAACTTTTTTCAAAACCGGAAACGTGCTCAAAAAATGAGGAAACGGACCCAAATAAAGAGGAAACCGATCAACAAACTGAGAATTAAAATTTTTTTTTGAAAACCGGAAACGAACCCAAAAAATGAGAATCAGAGTTTTCTCAGATTATATCAGAGTTTTCTAAAAGATTCCTTTAAAAATGTTTGCAAGCCTAATACATTCTGTTTAACAAATATCTAGGTATAAATAGAAAACTTTCTCAAAAATGATTTAATTTTTTAATATTTTAAAACTATTTTAGTTAAACACACTTTAGATAATGTACCTTTATAATACATTTGTTTTCAATTGATTTCTTGGTTTTAATTTCCACTTCAGAGAATATGTCAATGCAGTATTGATATTCTGGTCTTAAATAACTATATAAACCTATCTCAGAGATACTTTTCTGCATTCACAGAATTTCTGCTTTCTGCAAAAGCTTTGTAAAAAAAGCAGCTTTACCAGGGAGTAAGGAATAGAAGGGAGATATAACTGACGCTTTGCAGACGGGCACTCCATTTGTATATGAAATATTCAGAATAGGTTATTGTATACGCAGTAAATGTACATCAGACAAATATTTCTATTCCATACTCCCTGAGCTTTACACTTTACACTCACACTTGAAATTTCTAATCTTTGTGTGTTTTTATTTTGATATTGGAAATTTCCAACTGTGAATGTTCAAGATCTAATGGTCAAAATTTGAAAAACTAAAGGTTTATCCGTACCCTTAGGGTACTTTGAATTAAATAATTATTAGATATTCAGTGACTTATTAGGGTGTGCTACTTACACCACTTTCATTGTTATTTTTTTTCCAAAATTAGTCTAATACCGATCCAAACAAAATTCCTGATATCCTCTTGAAATCAAACAAAAAAATGTTAAAAAAATACAACCAAATGAAAAATTTTATTTATTCTATTCTGATGGTGAAAATAACTCTTACAAAGCCAACCTGTCATCTTGGATATAACATGGCTTACTTTCCGATATCTACAAAATCGGGCCCCCCCCCTCCCCCTGGGAATATGTGTAAATGAATCATATATATATTCCTCTGTATATCCCAGCTATCTATTCTATCTATCCTAGATCCAGCATAATCTTCTATGTCCGAAAATTATTGTCCGTAAAATGGAAAGACGGGAAAAGGGAGGGATGGGGAAATTGGGAATGAGGTTATGATGAGGGGGGAGGAGGTTATGAAGAGGGGGGAGGAGGTTATGATGAGGGAGAGGAGGTTTTCCTGAAAATTGTAAGAAAGAGGGATCGAGTTTGATATCCAAGTTGGGCTGATCTTGATCAATCACTTCAAGACAAAAGATAAAAATAAAGAGATAGTTAATTTCAGATAAAAGAGCTATCTATGTAGATAGATTTGTAGTTGAATAGATAGATAGTTGGATAGATAGATAGATAGTTGGATAATTAGATAGATAGTGGGATAAATAGATAGATAGTTGGATAGATAGTCTTGTATCGGTTGATTGAAGGAAAATCTGATAACGGTTAATACAAGATTGGCCTAATTATACTACTCTCCAATATTCCTTCCTATACATTTGTACAAACTCCCATTATCCCATTAACTACCCCCCTCCCCCTCCCCTTAGAAAATAGAGTTAGGTTCAGAGCAATCAAGCAACATTTAAGCTTATCCTTGATGATCAGTGTAATAAGAGGAAGAGTGGATGGTGATCATGCTATTCTGATTGGCCTGACTTAATCGAGAAATCTGAAGTTTTTGCGAACACTCCCTTTAAACTATTCCTTGTAGAGATGCGCATGGTTTTATCATTTCCTTCATTCATTGTTCATGAACGAGCCATTTCGTTCATTTTCATACTGAACAGCTAAGTAAAATCATTTGTTTAATCAAATAATTCGCTCATTTAAAAAAAACGATAGTTTTTTAAAAAGTTCATTCAGTAGGTGTGTTTCAAAAATTATTCTATCGGTAACGATTGTTTATTTTCTAAAATCTTTAAGGAAAAAACAATACCAAAACAAAAAAAAAACGATACCGACGTTCACGAAAATTGTCGTGCGTTTACAACAAAGATGCCCATCTCTAGGTAGAAGAATTAAGTATTTATTGTTCACTAGACTAAAAACTATTTCATTTTCAAAATCTTTCGGAAAAAAGGAATTGAGTCTTTGCCACAAACTATGATTTTCTAATCCCTATATTTTTTCGATCCAAAGTTGTAGATCTTAAATATTTCAAACTATGAATTATGTTAGATCGAATTACATCAGTTTGAAATGTCAAAGGTCTACACCGCCAGGTTGCAAAGATAGGGATTAGAAAATTTTAGTTTGTGGCAATTACTTAATTTGTTTGTTTGTTCCAAAAAACAATACGTTCACAAAAAATGTTGTTTGTTTACAAAAGAGCTGCTCATCTATAAGTAGAAGAACTAAGCGAACCACGAATTATTGTACAAAACCTAATTCAAGCAGATTGTTTGATAAATGCATAGATAAAGATAGATTGCGCATAAGACGACATTTTTCAACTTGAAAGATATAAATGTACAGAGATGTTTTAAAGATATTCCTATTATATAGATTAACTAGGTCGTTTGTGAAAATTGGCTGTTCTTATGTCATTGAGTACTTGTGGTGTACATGAGTTCTGTAGAGATAAAAGTTAGTCCTTCTTCAGTTCCCGTCAATATGATAAATTGCAAAGTGAAATAAAATTCACTCCTGAGTGGTTTAATAATTATGAAATCCATTAAAACACCAAACGACTCCGCTTATCATTGAAGTACACTTTGACCCCTAAAAGTATGAATTCGCGGACTGTACAATTCTTGGTGATTTTGCGTACATAAGCTATCTATGTTTATTTATTTATCATGGATAAATCAATCCTTCCTTTTTTAAATAGAATTTCTTTTAACTTTGTATCTGTTTGGTCAATCAAGAGGACCTTGAAGAAGACCTGAAAACCTCTGAAAAAAATGTAATAAGAGTTTAAATCCTATAAATCCTTGTATTTCACAATATACATGAAGCTAACATATTGACTGGTACTAGTTTTAAGCTCATGGCATGAAATTCTAAAAGTGGTGGAATGTTTAAATCACATAGAAAACTGTATTACAACTTCTATTGAACATTGTTTAACGGTAAAAAAGAAAAGATTTCACCCTGTGTTTTGAATTTAGTTCACTTTGTCACGCGGCAGTGCCGCACTGTCCACACGTGGCAAATATCGTCTTTGGTAAAATCACTGGTATTAATTGATTGGTGTTAAGTAAGCGAGGTTTCTACAGGAGGTTTACAACAACTAATAAGGTGGTAAACAGCTGGATATGTTTGCTAATAAACAAGGAATCTACTCCTGACACTGATGGCTGCTGAAGAGGTTCTGAAATAAAAAAAATAATAAAAACTTTAAAAAACTAGATTTATCAAAAAAATGATTATGAGAGGGGGGTATGTCGCTTACACTACTGTGATATCTGAAGTCTAAGAAAACTGATTTTAACTGTGTATAAGAACTGAACTGAAAACTTTAGAATGAAATATCCTTAATCCTGATCTGTTAATTAATCTGGAGATTAATAACAAGAGGAGAACAAGCATTATTTAATCTTGAGATTAAGAAAGATAGTGGATCAAGCATTAATCCCAATATCCACCATTCAAAAGTTCCCAAATCTGAACACTTTTCAATTTTCTAATCCTTAAAAATGGTCAGCATTAATATTATAATCTAAGAATTCTGCTATATAGCTAAAATTTCAGGCTAATGTTTAGTTTCTCTTTTATCTTAAACTATTCATATAGCTAGAAGATTTGATGCTGGGAATTTCATTTTAACTAAAACAAAATCTTTTTTTTAGGAAAAAATGCTACTGCTTTAAACCGTTTCAGACATTATTTAATTGAAGGGATTAAAGAAAATTCCAATATAATTCAGATTCTACTTCAATAAAATCATGAAAATACCTGCTCCCTTTGTGGCAAAAAGGAATGGTTTGCTGAATTTGCTGAGTCCATATTGGTTTCTAGCTGCTACTCTAGCTTCATACCTAAACATAATAATACAAATATTAATAATTCTCTAGATATAATTACTTTCCAGGTCATAATCTTTTCTGATTGAAGAAGGTATTGGGTGACAGGGGCTTTAGAATATTTAGCCTTCAGGGGCTTCCGTCAAAATCTTCCTGGTGAAAGGAATAGAGTCTTTGCCAAAAACTGTGATTTTATAATCCCTATACCTTTGCAACCCAATTTCGTAGTCCTTAATTATTTCAAACGACGAATACTGTTGGATAAAATAATCTCAGTTTCAACCACCAGGTTGAAAAGATATAGGGATTACATAATTTGCGTTTGTGGCCAAGACTCAATTCCTATGTTTCAAAATTCTATTCTCTGCAAATTTTTTCTTTTGTTGCATTGTTCAAAATATTGGTCCTGCCAGAAGATATAAAACTGAAGAAAACTAATTCAAACTACCATTCAGGTGATTTTGTTAGTGTCAATATTTTGTATCAAAAGCCTGCTCAGTTGTGTCTTAAAACTGCAAAACCTGAATTCTAGAAAAGTTGTGGCTATATTATTATTATCAGTTTGTGAATGCTTATATTTAAAAGTAATTTGTTTTACATCAAAACTTTAAAACAAATTATTGTAAAATTGGCAAATCCAACAAATGCATGTTTGAATGCATTTGTTTAATTAAAATGAACAAATTACGAAATATACATTATTTATTTAGGTCTTAATTAAACCTCAATATGATCATAATAAAACAAAACTTTTAGAATAACATCCAATTTATATATTTTAATTTTCATAAAAAGAATGAGGATTTCTTTATTTTCGTAATCTGTATTTTGAATAAATATATTCAAAACTAATTGTAAACTAACTTTAAGCAATGAAAGTCTTAAACATGCCTAGTTTCGGTTCAAGCGTTGCAAAATTAGAAAATAAAGAAATATTTATTCCCCCAAGAATCTTTGCATAGAGTCCTTTATCACACAACAGTGAGCAGAGAATAAATTAGAAAAGTTGAATTGATTTGTCATTTCAAGTTTTAAATATTTAAATTATATTTTATATATATATATATACATAAATATATATATATTTGTATACCTGGTGGCAGATCCCAGTCCCTCGAGGGTAATAGATCCTTGCCATTCATTTTCAAGTTTAGGAGCTGACTTTACCTCCAGAGATCTCCATCTAAACTCACGTTCAGCTCTACAATACATTTAAATATGTATAATATGGTTGGAATGGATATTTTCTAATCCCTTTATCTTTGCAACCTGATAAGGTAAACCTTTAATATGTTAAGCTATTAAGCAGAATACATAGTTTGAAATATGCTTACTCCTTAAATTGCAAATACGTAGGGATTAAAAAAAAGACCAATCAGATATAATTTTGGGTTTTGGAATCTGATTTAGAATGTATCTAAGTTTTAGCTTGCGACTGAAGGTAGGTGTACTCTAGTATTATTGTGTACTCTAAGATTATTGTGTTCTCTAGTATAGATGTGTACTGTAGTATAAATGTGTACTCTAGTATAATGTGTACTCTAGTATAATGTGTACTCTAGTATAATGTGTACTCTAGTATGAATGGGTAGTTTAGTATAAATGTGTACTCTAGTATAAATGTGTGCTCTAGTATAATGTGTACTCTAGTATGAATGGGTACTCTAGTATGAATGTGTACTCTAGTATAATGTGTACTCTAGTATGAATGGGTACTCTAGTATGAATGTGTACTCTAGTACCTGAACTCCAAGGTGAATGAGTGTACTGGTGATCTACTAAGTACACTCCACTCTAAGAAGAATTTATCTAACCAAGGGCTAAGTGTTGTATCCTGGAATACCGCTGGATGCGCCAAACCTGAAAAAAGTATTTTAAGTTATCCAACATTTTAAAATGTTTGTGTCAAAACCTTATTTAGAATTAGCTTGGGAACCCGGCGCTGCCCAGGTTACTCATAGTTCCTCCTGCCCTTTACCCGCACTTGGTCGATTTTACCGGGAAACTAAATATTCGCTTTAAAAGTATACTCACTCGACTTCGAATTTCAAAACTAAAAACATTTCAGTGGTTTTCCCGAGTTCCCCAATCAAAATTTAGGCAATGGGGTTCCTGAGTTATGATCAAACAAACAAACAAACAAACACACAAACAGACAGACTAGAGATTACAAGTTTATGTATGTAGAGGGTTTGTTTTTACCTGAAACCTGGATGGTTCCGGTCTTTTCTCCGATCTGATTCCTCGCTGTACAAGTATAATCTCCAAACAACTCGGAACCCATCTGAGAAGAAAATAGCTTGTTTTGATAAAAAATACCGAAAATCTAGAGAATCTTCCTCAAACTCTTATTTGAAACCTGCTGGTGTAAACTATACACCATTAGGTTTCAAAGATAAAAAATACCGAAAATTAGAATGTATTCCTATTCAGAACCTTTCCACAAAAGTGAATCTTATAAATGATTTGATCTGAAATTTAAAATCATCACCAAAACACCTAGGAAATGCTTGAATATTTAAAAACGTAACTTCACTTTAAAAATCAGATTGATTTAAGCTCTATTTCAATATGTTAATAGTTTCTATTAAAGGCAAGGGCGAATTTATGAATTTGTCCAGGGGGGTAGGCTTTAACTTTGTTCTTTACAGGGAGGGCTCAGCACCTGTTGGGGCCTAAAAACCCCCTGAAATCCATAGATTTCACTTGCTGAGCCCCCTGAATACGCTTCTGATTGAATATTTGTTTGAAAGAAAACAAAACTTAATAATCCAAATATTAATTGTGGGAGTTAAATCTAGGTTTGGATTTGTAGAAGTGAGGATTGAATAGGGGATTAAATCCTGTTTACTCGAAACTATATATTAATATTTAAAGAAACTGACTGAAATAACTGGTTCTGGGGAGAAGGTTTAAAATATAAAAGTTCTTGAAATATATTTGGAGTTCTTAGATCCAAGAGAAGAACTTGTTTTCACAATAAACAACACTTGTCACAAATTTAGAAACATCAAACAAGAAACTTTTCTAAAGTTAAGAAAGGGACTGTTCAACAATTTAATATACGTTATATTTAAGAAATTTTAAAAATATGAGTAAACAGCCAGTGATCAGTCACTTATGTTATTCTTACCTTCAGAATGGTAAGGGTGTGTGTGTTCCCCATAATATTAGTATAGTAGTTAGGATTAGTTGGATCTATATCTACTCCATCCTTACTCCATCCTGTCTCACATCTACAATATATCTATATATTAGTATAGTAGTTAGGATTAGTTGGATCTATATCTACTCCATATTTATTCCATCCTGTCTCACATCTACTATATATATATATATTAGTATAGTAGTTAGGATTAGATGGATCTATATCTACTCCATATTTACTCCATCCTGTCTCACATCTACAATATATATATATATTAGTACAGTAGTTAGGATTAGTTGGATCTATATCTACTCCATATCTACTCCATCCTGTCTCACATCTACAATATATATATATTAGTATAGTAGTTAGGATTAGATGGATCTATATCTACTCCATCTACAAGATATCCTTCTACTACAAGAATAAAACATGTTTATTGTTTATTATATTATAAAATATGACAGAAAGTCAGTTATAAATCATTTCTAAGCCTGGAGATAAAAAAGACAAAAAACATGGTTTATCTTCCATAAAAAGATATATTTACAGACCTTGTGTTAAAGGATGAAAGTTTTTAAAGGTTTTAAAAAATAGATATTTTTCAATAACATCATTTACTGTGTACAATATACAAAAACCATATCAGAACCTGTTGCCAAGATACCACTAAGCCATATCAAATTAATTCCACAAAAAAACTGAATTTGATTTTATAGCATGAGTTATTTTCAGTCTAATAAATATTAACGCTCTTATCTTCTTTTTGTTCTATTTGTAATCTGCAGGCATTTCTTCTCATCATATTTAAAGATCATAATAATAAAATGTTATGTTTTCATTGAAGTTTACAAGATAGGACAAACGGACAAACATATAGACAAGGAAATATGTACTAGCTCAAGTTCCCGGCGTTGCCCATGGAATTAAAAAAAAAACTTACATATACACAAATATACATATAGAGCTTTATTATATAGAAGATAACCTGGGAGAACAGTGAATATTACAGAGAATTCGAACCTCCTCCCCCTCAGCTGTATGCAGGAACTCTTCTCCTATCTCAATATGTGGTCCATCTGAACATAATAATATGTGGACCATCTAAACATAATAATATGTGGACCATCTGAACATAATAATATGTGGACCATCTAAACATAATAATATTTCGACCATCTAAACATAATAATAAATGGACCAACTAAAATAATAATATGTGGACCATCTAAACATAATAATATGTGAAACATCTGAACATGATAATATGTGAACCATCTGAACATAATAATATGTGAACCATCTAAACATAATAATATGTGGACTATCTGAACATAATAATATTTGAACCATCTAAACATAATATGTGGACCATCTAAACATAATAGTATGTGTACCATCTAAACATAATAATATGTGGACCAACTAAACATAATAATATGTTGTCCATCTAAACATAATAATATGTGGACCAACTAAACATAATAATATGTGGACCAAATAAAAAGACCAATCAAGTATTGCACATATTGATTAAACATGACAAAATTTAGTAATTTGAGAAGATTTGGAATTAATAATTATTAAATGCAATTAATAATTGCAATTAATGATAAAGGATAAAAATCAGAAATATTGAAAAATTCAATTTTTATTTCAAATTTTCTTCAGGTTTAAAAGAGCTTTTGAATTTAAAATTTTTATTTGTTTATTTTACGTTCTAAATATTATAAAGATACTTACGATGAACTTCAAGTTTAACCTCCCTTGTAACAGGATCAGGACCAAAACCATTATCTGCCTGGCAAATATAATGCCCAGCATCATGCCTAGACAAATTGTATCAAATTAGAATAAAATTAGGAAAATTTAAAAATCTTTTGTCAGTTCCTTGAATGGGTTCCTATATATTTACCTTGTAACAAATTTCCATTGAACTACAGTTCCTTGAATGAGTTCCTATATAATTACCTTATAACAGAGTTCCATTGAACTTCAGTTCATTGAATGAGTTCCTATATATTTACCTTGTAACAGAGTTCCATTGAACTACAGTTCCTTGAATGATATATTTACCTTGTAACAGAGTTCCATTGAACTACAGTTCCTTGAATGGGTTCCTAAATATTCACCTTGTAATAGAGTTCCATTGAACTACAGTTCCTTGAATGGGTTCCTATATATTTACCTTGTAACAGAGTTCCATTGAACTACAGTTCCTTGAATGGGTTCCTATATATTTACCTTGTAACAGAGTTCCATTGAACTACAGTTCCTTGAATGGGCTGATCAGGTTTATGTTTTCTAACCCAGTTTACTGCAGGAGTAGGACTTCCTTTTAAAATCTAACAAATAATAAAGATCAATTCTTAACTTCTACAATCAATCAATTCACAAATTATTTAGTTGATCAATACTATAATTACTAGTAGAAACAAGTATGGAATTGCTGAAATGCATGTTTAGTGTCCACAAGGCTACCTTTTGAAAGCCATTTCTAATGAGTTTAAAACTCATAGTTCAATAGTAATCTTTAGACATTTTATAATTACTTTAGACATTTTATAATTATTTTTGAATTTTTCAAATAGTTTTTTTTTACCTTACAAGATAAAGATGCTGGTTCACCCTCTCTCACTACAAGGAGTTCTCCTGGTGTAGTCTCAATCCCTGGTTCAACTAAACATAACAAGCATGACTACAAGGAGTTCTCCTGGTGTATTTTCAGTCACTGGTTCAACTAAACACAACAAGCATGACTACAAGGAGTTCTCCTGGTGTATTCTCAGTCACTGGTTCAACTAAACACAACAAGCATGACTACAAGGAGTTCTCCTGGTGTAGTCTCAATCGCTGGTTCAACTGAACATAACAAGCATGACTACAAGGAGTTCTCCTGGTGTAGTCTCAATCCCTGGTTCAATTAAACACAAAAAGCATGACTACAAGGAGCTCTCCTGGTGTAGTCTCAGTCACTGGTTCAACTAAACACAAGAATGACTACAAGGAGCTCTCCTGGTGTATTCTCAGTCACTGGTTCAACTAAACACAACAAGCATGACTACAAGGAGCTCTCCTGGTGTAGTCTCAATCACTGGTTCAACTTAACACAACAAGCATGACTACAAGGAGTTCTCCTGGTGTATTCTCAGTCACTGGTTCAACTAAACACAACAAGCATGACTACAAGGAGTTCTCCTGGTGTAGTCTCAATCACTGGTTCAACTAAACACAACAAGTATGACTACAAGCAGTTCTCCTGGTGTTTTGATCTAACAGAATTCATGAAATATCTTAAGTCTACGACATTGGGATTAGAAAATCAGAGTTTGTGGCAAAGAATCTATTCATTTTCCAACAAATTCTTAATATTCGGTTTTTGAACGGTTATTTTTGTGAAAATATTCTATATTTTAGTTACATTACATTAGATCTACAAGCTCTACATGTATAGATTGAAACAGGTGTTTTAGGGACATGACAGGAAGTACACTTTAAACTATACAAACTAGTCTACCATCCAGAACATACAGAAATAAATACTATTGAGACCATAGAGAAAATAGAAACCATAGAGGCCATAGAGAAGAAAGAGACCATACAGACCATACAGAACATTGAGACCATAGAGGCCATAGAGAAAATAGATACCATAGAGGCCATAGAGAACAAAGAGACCATACAGGCTTAACAGAACATTGAGAGCATAGAGAAAATATATACTATAGAAGCCATAAAAAAAGAGACCATACAGAACAATGAAACCATAGAGACCATAGAGAAAATAGATACCATAGAGGCCATAGAGAAAAAAGAGACCATACAGACTATACAGAACATTTAGACCATAGAAACCATAGAGACCATAGAGAACATAGAAACCATAGAGACCATTAATAACATAGAGAACATAGAGACCATTCATAACATTGTGAACCTAGATACCATTGAGAACATAGAACAAATACAGACTAGAGAACTATATATTCCAAAGCTGCTTTAGAGAAAATAAAGAAAATAAAGAACATGGAAAATGGAGAAACCATTGAGACCATACAGAAATATAAATAACATAGAGAGCATAGAGTCCAAGACTTCAGCCACCATAAAAACCATTAAACCATTAAACCATTAAAGGGTTTATAGGTTTGTTTATCCTACAATAATATTTAAATTCATTTTTTACTACAATACAGTACAATACAGTACAGTACAATACGCCCGTATAAACATTCATCTTTTATATTGAACAAACCGTAACATGTATTCATTGTGCTTGTTTATATAAAAACTTGTATTGTGTTCAATTTATGTTTTAAATATATACATTTGCATATAATTAGGGGTAGCATTATGTAAATTAGAATGAAGGAAGAATGAAATCAATATATCTGTTTAGATATTTGATATTTATAGAATAAAATAACCCTTTTATACAACAGACAATGCTCCTCCATCCCCTGGTATCCAATCAGACTCATAAATCTAGGATGGGTTCCTCTTATCCTATTCAACCCCTATATAAAATTCCCAAGGGGAGGCTTAATCCCAATCCCCCTTTATTGTATGTATCTTACGCTAGTTGCTATTTTAACTCAAAACCTACACTATTGTTTTTTAAGCGTAAAATTAACTGTTTCCCCTCCCCATTTATTTTTATGGTTGAATTTTCAAGGTATTGTACCATGAATGTAACCCTATTGAATTATTTAAGTAAAAAGTGATATTCATATTTTTCCATTTATAAAAGTTAAGCTTTGACAAGACAAAATGTTTTTTATTTGCATGTATTGCAACATGCAAGTGACATTTCATGAATACAGCTACTGTCCAATTTACAATGGTACTCTTTAAGCTTTTCTATAATCAGGAATGAATGTGGTATTCATGTTTCAACATTTTAAAAATAATTTTTTAACCGTTGTTTCGCTTTAAAAGTGGAAACAATTGAGGAAATTGTCAGAATTAAGCGCTTTTTAAGCAAGAAAAATAATTTAAAAACGGCTTACATCATAAACGATTAAACTTCTTCAATTTTTACAACATTATAGTTGTAAATAATTTAAAAACGGCTTACATCATAAACGATTAAACTTCTTCAATTTTTACAACATTATAGTTGTAAACGAATTTTACCAAATGTATCACACTCCCTTATCTCAAATCTATAAGGTAAAGTCATAGGTGTGGGGGAACCCCTCCCCCCCCCCTCCCACCTATATTAGACAAAAATAGCCAACATGGATAGGGTTAACGGGTACGGTCACTTAACCCTTTAATCCGTGGAATGAATTTAAATAATGAAAGATCTGTGAATGTAACTGGAGTGTATGTATACTATATATCAATATGTTATCCATGTACATACAAGAATACAAGAATACAATGAAAGATCTGTGAATGTAACTGGAGTGTATGTATACTATTTATCAATATGTTATCCATGTGCATACAAGAATACAAGAATACAATGAAACAATATAGAAATATATCGTGAAAATATCTGTACAGTAAGGACACATACTTTTACTCAAGACTCAAAGACCAGATTTGATGTCATAATTTATGGCTTTTATTTTCGAACACCACATTGATTAAACTGTTTGGTCCGAGTCCCAATTTGACAAATTAAATATTAACGTTTGTTTCTCCTGATATTTTTATATTTTCAATATGTTTTAAATGAAAAAGTAGAGAAAGTTATGATGACACGATAGTATTACTAAATATGAACAAAACCCTAAATTCTGTCAGATTTTTTTCTTAAATTTTAAAAACTTTAAAGGTTTTTTTTCGATATTAAGATACTAAATATATACAAATGCATCCATAAAAATACATAAAAATGTAACCCTACCTCTGACAGTCAACTTGTGGGTTAAATATTTAGGATCGTATGATGAGATCTGGCAGATATATTCTCCTTCATCATCTGGGGTCACCTAGATATAAAGAAATGTTCAAAAGGCCGATACCGTTGTCATTCGAATATGGCATTTTTTTATATGAAGGAACACTTGAATTACTTCTACAATCCCTTTAAAAATAAAAGAATAATCTCAAAATATAATATATAAGTAAAACAATTAATTATTGTTAATAGGTTTATTGTATGTGGATACATTGTAATTATACATGTAACAATAATTTTTTGGCATATATTTCATCTAGGACTTAATATGTAGACGTTCTATTCGTAATACCAAATCTATAATGAATTGAGTCTTTTCCACAATCTCTTATTTTATAATCCCTATATTTATGTAACCCAATGTTGTATACCGAAGATATTTCAATGTATGAATTATGTAAAGTTCGAAATATCAAAGAATTGTTCCATTAGGTTGCAAAGATATTATAATTAAAAAATTTGAGGTCATGGCAAAGACTCAAATCCTTTGTGCAAAATTGTCTTATTTAAATCTAGCTTCACGAATTGCGATTAATAAATTACAACAGCTCTTTAAGTTTCTTTTCCTGTTCACAATTTACTGCACTGGAACTTTCAACTGGGTGACTTAAAGAACTTGATACTTGCCTCAAACTCATATTGTCTTGATATACTACTAATCTGTACCTGGCTTAGAACCAACTGGTTTCCATTAGTATCTGTATCCATCCTGTATCTAGGATTAATAATCTGTGTTCCTGCGCTCAAAATACTCTCTTCTCGTTTCCAAAGTAGTACAAATCCTAAACACATGTTTAACTGGAGACGGGTTGTTTTCAATTAAGTGCAGTACGTTTTGTGACATAACATATTCTAAGATTAAAACTTTGAATTCTAACATAAGGACTTTTGTTATAATCATTATTACTATTATTATTATTATTATTATTATTATTATCATTATAATTATTATTATTATTATTATTATTATTATTATTATTATTATTATTATTATTATTATTATTATTATTATTATTATTATTATTATTATTATTATTATTATTATTATTATTATTATTATTATTATTATTATTATTATTATTATTATTATTATTATTATTATTATTATTATTATTATTATTATTATTATTATTATTATTATTATTATTATTATTATTATTATTATTATTATTATTATTATTATTATTATTATTATTATTATTATTATTATTATTATTATTATTAGTATTATTATTTTTACCCTCTAATCTATCAACCATGCAAGGTAAACGAACTGTCTCCCCCTCGTTGACCAGCATAGACATTGAATCAGATTCAAACCTTCAAAAAAAATCAATTTTTATATTTTGACATCTTTATATATACTTTACTTGTATGTTTGACGGTTTGTTTGTTTGAATCCAAAAAACGTCAAGACGACTGAATCGATTGGGCCCAAATCTTTGTGGGACCTCACATGACCCAGAGAAGGATTATGGACCATCGAAATTGAAATAAATATTCCCGGAAAAAAGTCTAGAAAATGCGCTAATTCAAATAGAAAAATCTGTAAATATTTGAGAATGATTTAAAATGGCCGACTTTCAGAGCAATATTCAAAAGCTAAATTTATTTTCAGGAAAGGGGGCGCAAAGCGTCCTAAAAGCCTATTATATTAAATTTATCTATACTATAATCTATATTTTCTATACTGAATATGTCAGCTGTCCAACTATACAAATTGGATAAAAAGTTTTAAATGAAAAATATTCATGCACACACAAATAAATTAATATTCAAATATAAATGCTATTTGTTTGAACATATAAGTGTGTTTTAAAATACAAGGGCTGATAAAAATATATATATTTATGTATAATGTTCGAGATTTAAAGGTTAAATTTGGTTTTTGGGATAAATATTATTTTTTTAATATGTATTTATAGTAGTAAACATGTTTGCAATAAAAACAAGATTACCAGCTGTTGAAAGAAACTAAAAGTGCTCAGAAACTAAAAGTGCTCAGAAAAAACCTTAGTTTTCCAACAAATAGTTAAATAATTAAATAGTATATACGATTTTTTAAGTGGAATATTAAAATCGGCATTTCCTAACTGAAAAAGGATGAAAAAGGATGAAAAAGGATGAAAACGGATGAAAAAGGATGAAAAAGGATGAAAAATGATGAAAAATGATGAAAACGGATGAAAAAGGATGAAAACGGATGAAAAAGGATGAAAAAGGATGAAAAAGGATGAAAACGGATGAAAAAGGATGAAAAAGGATGAAAAATGATGAAAAATGATGAAAACGGATGAAAAAGGATGAAAACGGATGAAAAAGGATGAAAACGGATGAAAAAGGATGAAAAAGGACGAAAAAGGATGAAAAATGATGAAAAATGATGAAAAATGATGAAAAAGGATGAAAAAGGATGAAAAAGGATGAAAAAGGATGAAAAATGATGAAAAAGGATGAAAAAGGATGAAAAAGGATGAATAAGGATGAAAAGGATGAAAGAATACAGGAGAAACAGAAAATATTCACAAACGTGAATTGTACACTTTCAAAATTTACAGAATCTTGCTTTAACAATTAAATATTTTAACTTTTTACTGATTCTCGGAAAGTTGCTATTTTTCAGTATTTAACATTTTATGCGGATAAATTCGGCCCGATCAGACAAGACAAACGACAGATAGACAATTAAAGCATTTATATAATTTATATATGCTTAAATCTATACTTTACAAATAAGGTGTTTAAAGTAAGAAAACAAAAATTTTGCTAAAAGAAATTTTGAGGTTTGGGTCTTTTTAATATATTTGCATAACTTCTTGATTCTCAAATTTTCAAAGTCTAGGAATATTTTTTTATAAAAGTGTTATTTTATAAAGTTTAGCTTTGTTATTATAGTCACCCTGTATATTGAATAAACTAGTGTGTACACAAGTTCCCCCACGTCTTTGTTTGCTTCATTTATTCTATATTATTATAATTACAAATTGAACATTCACATATATATGAGGCTATAATTAAACATTATAGCAAGATTAGGGGCTATATAATTTAGTTTTATTATAATAAACCTTTCAACAATTCACAAAATATAACAGCAATTGTGTTTACAACAGAAACTTAAATTAAGAAAACATTTTTGCAGTGGCGCACCTAGCGTTTTTTATACCTTTCAAGGGTTTAATGAGAACTAATGTTTCTTTTTATCAATAAATAAGTTTAGTTTAGTGTAACTTACTTTTTCAACAAAAACTTTAAAAGTTAAAATGTATTTTTTGAAATATCCAATAAATGAATTTCCTTGGATTAAATTAATCCCCCTAAATATATAAATAGAAGCTTAGAATAATCTTTCTAATGTGTCTAAATACCATTGCTATCAATTAGAGACAATTAAACTTGATCTGGGGGGAGTGTCACAGGTTTATTTATGCAAATAAAGGGAGAATTCACAAATAATAGATCTTAAAGAAACATATTTAGGTTTAAAAGCCACTGTTTTGAATAGTGTGTGGGATGGGGAAAGGGCTCTCCAGTGATAAAACTAAAATGTTAACTTACGTTGGAGTACGGACAATTATTGCTTCTTTCAATTCCTCTGGAGCATCGTAATCACTGCTGTACATCTCCTCTACATCTGTACTGTACGGTGAACCTACAAAATTCGCAATAAATTTCTGCTGTACATCTCCTCTACATCTGTGCATGTAAAATACGCAATTACCAACAAATAAAAAATTTCTGCTGTACATTTACTCTACATTTGTACTGTACGGTCAACCTTAAAACATGCAGTTCATATTTGCTGTACATCTCCTTTACACAACTGAACTGCACTTTAAATGTACACTTAATATAAAATGAAACACAAAGTTTAATATAAAAATGATCTGGATCTAAAGAAAGATTTATTTTGTGTTGTTTAGTGTATACTGTATAGTAATGTCAAGTTGTCAACCTATTTCTCAGCTAGGTAATGAATTTATTCTTTAATATAGTAGACCCATCATGAATGAAATGATTAATGTGAGAGAGATTTATATTTCAAACCTAAAAAGAATATTTTTTTAATGAATCCTCAAAACAGTCGGAGACGGTCCACTTCTACACTAACTTTCAAAGGAATTGAGTCTTTGCCACAAACTCTGATTTTCTAATCAAAATATCTTTACAAACCAATGTTGTAGTGCTTAGATATTTCAAATTATGAATTAGGTGAGATATAATAATTTAAGTTCAAAATATAAAAGAAAATTTGAGTTTGTGGCAAAGACTCAATTCCTTAGTTTGTAAATGAACTACTTATTTGTAAAGTCAAATAAAATAATGGGTGCGAAGCGCTGAGAATATTTGAATCTTGTAATCAATTATTTGTAGAATTCTTGTCACTACTGTTGCTGTAAAATATTTATTTATTAGAAGCGTTCCTCTTCCATATTTTCTAGACATATTGCTCCAGTATTTCATCCTAATGGGCAATTGTAAAATTCTGCCAACGGCTCCATCATTTTATATTTTTCATCATTTAGTTTCCCTTTAAATCTATTATCACATATTTTATATTTTACAAGTTTATAGATAGATCAGCTGGAGATCTCAGCGTTGCCCGCGCTTGTTCGTAAATTATGATTTTATCTATTTTTCCCTATAGAAGTGGACACAATCAATTTAGAATCTAAAACTCAAACTAAGAAGATTCCCGCGGTTCTCCCGAGTTCCCCAATTAAAATTTGAGACAAAATGGTCAATGGGTTCATGAGTTATGAGCAGACAGACGGATTTTACAACTTTATTTATATAACCCCCTATATCTTTACAAGTTGGTGGTTTAGACCTTTGACATTTGATCCGGCAGCATTTATGGTTTAAAATATCTAAGGTATTCAACATCTGTTGCAGAGTTATAACTATAATATAAGAATTAGTGTTTGTGGCAAGTTTCTCCACACCCAATCTTGTGTATGTTCGACTATAAACTATTATAAAGCCAACCTTAGACCCGCAAGATTAAAATATTTCAATAAAGATATAAAACTTCACAATGTATTAAATGTCCCCCAAGGCCTTAGAATTCAGAGGTAATTTCCCGCTTTAAGCGAAATCGAACACGTATCGTGTTCCTTTATTTCGTTCAATAAAATCAAAATTAAGTTTTTTTTTAAATAAAAGATTGTGTATATAAATACTCTTCGGGGTCTTCTTTTATAAAAATTGCTAAATCTTGTAATTAAAAAAACAAACTAATATATAATAATAGCTCGAGAACCCAGTGTTGCCCAGGGTACTCTTAGTTTTACCCGCACTTGGTCGTAAATAACGATTTTAGCTATTTTTCTCTAAATAAATGTGTCCAGAGCTGGGAAATTTTAAATGGTTGATATCAAGATCAATGCTTGATCCTCTCTTTTTCTTAATCTCGAGACTAACCTAATCTTGTAATTGTATCCTAAAAAGTGTATAAATTTCAACCAATCAGAACCGAGTTTCAGAAGCGGGAAATTTGCGCGCGTCTTTTAAGAATAATATACAGAAACGGGAGGAACTCTCTAAATTAATAACCCGGTTTTTGATTTTTCGCTACTTTATCCAAAAAGAGTGGATTCTATAGTTCCAAACTCTGTTAAATTATAGAATCTCAAAACTAAGCTAAGAACATTCTTGTGGTTCTCCCGAGTTACGCAATAAAATTTGAAGCAAATCGGTCAAATGGTTCATGACTTATGAGATTACAACTTTATATATACTAGAAATTCAAGGCGCTTCGCGCCCGTCTTTCTAGCCTTAGAGAAGAAGAAGAACAAGAACAAGAAGAACAAGAACAAGAACAAGAAGAAGAAGAAGAAAAAGAAGAAGATAAAGAAGAAGAAGATAAACAAGAACAAGAACAAGAACAAGAAAAAGAATAAGGGTACTTTGAGAATAATACTGTACTGTAAACAATGATAAAGAGAAAATAGTAATCTAAGAATAAACAAATATTTGCAGTACATCTTCTTTGTTAGCTTTATGTAAGGATGCCGAATAATGGATAATACGCAAATATAAAATAATATATTATATATAATATATATATAAATAATGGTTATATACAACAAAGCTTTGTGCGTCCCTCAGATCAAAAGTTTGGAATTAAATCAAATTCTCACTTTACACTTTTTTTATTAGGTTAGAAAAAAGTATGTTTCCCAGAACCTTGTAAAATGATAGACGGGGGGGGGGGGAACCAGAAATAAATTTTGGACATCTGAAATGAACGGGAAAGTTTTTTTATGGGGTTATTTCTGTTGAAAAATCTACTGTTATCTACTGTAACAGAATTATTCTGGCTGTAACTTAATTATTTGTTTCTTAGATCTGTTTCATCCTATTCTTCAGGCAATAAAATAGATTGAATACAAACAAGGGGGTTAAAAATATACAATTTACGCATTGATTATCATGATTTCCTGAAAACAGTTTGTGGAACCCCNTCTGATAATATTATTAGTGGTAAAATATGAGTTTTAACAAGGAAAACAGAGGTATTTTCATTTCAAAGCTTTCAGAAAGAATCAAGGGAGGGTCATTAATAGAACTGTCATTTTAATTTTTACTTTAATAAAGACTTTTACTTTAATAAAGAAACCACAATTAAAAATTAAAAAATTGAAAAAATGTTACTTATTTCATGTTAATTTTTGGCAATTTTCAAAAATAAATTACTAAATTTTTGGAAACATTTGGAAGCCCATTTGGTTTCATCATGCATGTTTTTACGAAACGTTTAAGTTCATCTCTCCCCCCTCCCTCATCTGTTTTTGCCTAAACTAAGGAATGAACTGTGATGTTTGATCAGTTTCTCACTTGAATACAGCATACAAAAAATTGGATAAAAAGTGTAAAAAATGTTTCGTTAAATTGAACATTATTTTTCAGTTTATATATTTCACCCCTTCCGCCATATTTGGACAAATTGTTATGCGGGGGAATTCACTTTATAATTCAATGTTATTTTGTCACGATTTTAATAAATTTATTGCTATAGCCCCCCCCCCCACCCCCTTTCCGGCCTCCCCTTGGGTATTAATAATCTTTTATACCCCATAATTACTCCCCCCCCCTCATTCATTTTTATATCTTTTACCGTCAAGCAATAATTTCTAGAATATTAAAAATTATTATTTGTAATAACGATATTCTGCTGAAGTTTTTTTTTAATAACAAAACAGTAAAATCACGTGAGGTTGTGCTTTTTCAGTAGAGGGGTCTAGAAAAATTAAAAAAATCGGGGGGGAGTAAGTTTATTTCTACCCACCCTGTATATTTCACCAAAATATCCCAAACATCAACTGCTGCTAATAAAACTATTAATTACAGTGCTGTGCTGTCAGCAAACTATGTTTAGCTCCAGTGTATTTAAATATTTAAAAGCAGTCTGATTATATAATTAAAAAATTGATGGATTCGGATGCGTTCAGTTCGGACATTTTGAAGTTTTCATTAGGGTTCATCGTGTTATTAAACTGTCAATTTTACCATATTATTTTACTAAATTCAACAAATATGATAATCCTTTCATTTAAAAAATCATACAGTGAAAACCAGAAACTAGTGGAACTTTTTTCTTCAGATCATTAAAAGTCGTCAAGGATTGCAATTTACAAGAAAGATGAAATATTCAGTGCACACCACAATCTACATGAGAAGTATGTGAACTGCTACCTGTTGTTTATGAAACTATATTATCATCATATCGATATGGAAATATATCTGAATAGGCTCTAATTGAGAGTGTTGCATTTCCGGTTTAGCTGCTTTTTCAATTTACATGGACTAACTATCTATCTATCGTCGCCGCGTTATATTGTATCAGTAATGACAAACATCATATTCAATATATTTCATTTAAAAACTTGTAAAAATAAATATTTAAAACCTGTAACAAGAAGAGGAAGAAGGAGAAGAAAGATTTTAGATTCCGGCATTTTTTATCACAGTTTGTCTGTACAGTGTAAATCTGAGATTCCAAGATTCACGGATTTCTCTAACTCTGGAGAAATTCACGGATTTTCTAATTCCAAAGATTCTCACATTGGACACAATCAGCCAACCATAGATCCTGATAGTGGGATAGATAAACACAGAGTTCAATAGATCTATAGATAGAAGAAAAGATAGATAGATGTATAGATAGATGGATAGATAGATGGAAGCAGGTGTAAGGTTGGTAGTTTCATTTAAATCCGGAAATAAAGGTTTTCAAAGAAAACCATGTTTGGTTTTAACCAATATCAGAATAAATATGTAAATAGTTAATTATTCATCAATTTTTGAAAATTTTTGACAAATGTAATTAGAATGGATAATCTGTTAACCTCGAAGGATATGAATATTTTATAATATCTTCAATATGCAATAATAGATCTAGATCATGCTGTTTCATCCTCTTTGTAAACAAAAATTGCCCTCAGGCGACATAAGGAAAAGGAAAGAAGGGTAGATCTAAACCAAACCAAATAAAACCGAAATAGATCAGAATGAACAAAGAGTAAAAAATTAAAACAAAATTTTAAAAACTGAAAGTTTTTTATTTTTAAAGGTTGAAATCGTTAAAGTGAACTCAATAACCATGGAGCTTATCGAAACAGAAATTATTAACACATTTTTATATAAAAAAAAGATAGCAACAATATTTTGTAAACTGAAAATGTCTTAGAATTTTAAGAACCAAGCGGCCATTTATTAATTAGGGTGCCATAAACAATTAATAATAGTCCTTTTTTAGAATAGATAAAAATCTAAAAATTCTAAGAATTAAAAAAGAAAGAAAAAACAAAGATGTCTGTTAAATCGATAATTATATCGAAGTTAAAGAAAAGCTTTTCAAAATAAGAGAAATTTCGCAGATAATTCGACCGTCTCTTTAAAAATGAAAGAGAAACAGTTAAGAAATTAGAGAGTAATAGTCAAATCAGAAATAAAAACGCAATTTAAGTTCAATTGTTTGAAAGCAATAAAACGGTTCGTAAACTCTTTGAACGCTATAAATTAAAATTGTTTTCAACTGGAATTCAATAATTTAATGAATTATTTACAAGAGAACTGATTACTTGCCACAACCCCTAATTTTATACTCTTTATATCTCTGCAACCTGTTGTCTTAGACATAAAAATGCTGCTAGATCAAATATTATAGGTATATATATATACCACCAGGTTGAAAGATATAGGAATGTCAAAAGGAACTGAGGTTTTGCCTCAAACTTTAATATTTTAATTTTGAAATATCAAAGGTTTACAACATCAGGTTGCAAAGATATAGAGATGAGAAAATTTGAATTTGTCGTAAAAACTCAGTTTCTGTGAAACTGGGGCCGGTATTAAGTGTCTTAAAATAGAAAAAATTGAAACCTGAAAGTTGGCTTATGGACAATTCAATAAAAGTTCTGAATCTGACTTTAAGTCCCAATGGATTATTCAATAGAAAAGAGTGGGGGGAGTTAAAGATAGGAAATTAATCGACTCCAACTTTGCCACTTTACCCCCAGGAGAATACCAATAGGTTGCAGAGTTAACAATTTTCTACAAACTTTACGGAAATTGGACATAAATTGTCTGAGGGGTCAGAGAATAGGGAGAAATTATAAAGGTTAATATCTTTGAAATAGATGAAATTATGTTTATTCCACTTTCCTGAATTTAAACACAATTCTAACGTTTGATCATAAAATATCACTTTAAAAGTTCATTTAGAACTGTTCTCTGGTGAGTCCAAGTTCACATATACGGCAGGGTGTAAGATCAACCCTGAGGGTAGGAGTTCAAACACACTTCTGCTGGTTTCTTTCTTCCTCCTTACAGCTACCGGGCGCTTCCGGGGGCCGGGGGGGAGTAGGGGGGTGGAGCTCCGGAGCCATATTTATCACGGAGGTTCACATCGCAGATCACGGTCTGATCTCTGCGGAGAGTCGGGACAGTGTGAGCAGGAGCTATTAGTACACTGAGTGAATTTGCGGATAATTTCACAGCAATTTCGCGGATTTATTGAAGATGGTTTAATACACACTGATTATATACAGCGTGGTAACATATCAAGAGAAAACTGTTATTACGCCGCAACCATATGTTCAAATTTATTATTAAGAAAAATAGGAACTGATGTAAAATGTAATAAATAACTTGAAGAAGTGTAATTTGATAGACAAGCTTCTTTAATTCACGCTTTTTAGTTTTATTTGTCAAGCAAATGATCCAGGACTGATTTACTCCATGTGGAACCTAACATGCGGGGCGTCAAAGCCTTTTTATCTTGATTAAACCGAACCTAGATCTTACGCAGACAAAAGAGGAGACAGAAGATTAGACGACAAGGACATGGAATAGATCAAATTACATTTATGAATAGACATTAGCCCTCCCCTCCCCCTCCCCCCTCCTTACTCAACCTGAAACCTTACACGTTCAAAGATTAGTGACATCTCTAGCTAGTTTCTTACAATTCTAATCTATACATATATATATTTAGCAATGTTATTTAGTGTTTTTTTTTTCATTCAAAGCAGGATCAATTCATGAAGGAAATCTTTTTACAAGAGAAAGCAATACAAAATTTTGAATTTCAGCAAAGGAACTGAGTTTTTGTCACAAACTCTACTTTTCTAATCTCTATATCTTTGCTACCCAATGTCGTAGACCTTTGATATTTCAAACTATGAATTCTGTTTGACCAAATAATCTAAGCTTGAAATATAAGTGGTTTACATAATCAGATTGTAAAGATACAGGGATAAGACAATTTGAGTTTGTGACAAAAACTCAGATTCTGTTAGGTCATTTATTGTCTATGCAAACTGTTAAGTTTTTAGATATTTTTCTGTTGGAGAAATTTGCAATTCGTTATATTTTTTTTCATTTAAATGAATAGATAATTCTTCATTTTTTGTGACTTTAATGTTTTAACGTGGATATAATTTGCTGACCTAACCTTGTTAAAGCAAAGACGACTTTTAAACTAAAAGTTACCGAAGCAGAAATCCGCGAGTGAAAGGAACCATTTCCGTTTCCCGGTCTAGCCAACATGGAGGAGACAATATGGAGAAATCATTTATTCTCTAGGATGACTGAACACTCTTTTGTTCAACATAGTTTAGCCTCCCTTTGTTTTAATCATTACTAACTTCCTTAAATGACAATGTCTCGACCGTCTCTNTGCTCCCCCCCCCCAGCGTATCCTGGTTTTCAAGTACCCCAGCGGGGATAGGGTTAAATAATCTAAGTTTGAAGTATCAAAGTTTACAACATCAGATATTGGAATTAATAAATTAACTTCAATTAAAACAGGAAAATCAGCAACATTTTTTAAATGTTTTAAGGAATAAGACCTGCAGGTGCAGAAACGATATAAAGAAGGGCGCGAAGCCTACCCTTAATTTCTTAAATTAGCTAAAAGTTAAAAACATATTCTAATAATCCTTAATATTAGATGAATAAGAAGTGCAGATATTTCTGAAATTCATTTAAATTTTAGCAGAAATTCTATAATTATTCAAATTCGATAATTAGAGCTGGAATCTAATATCCAAATTTAGAAAATTAAACTCCAAAGTATGCTGTAACATGTTTAAAAAGGACTAAGCAAGAATTTAAAGCATTTAAATTTTCTTTTGAATTTCTTGATTAAGATGGATTAAAAGTTTTCACGGGTTCAAGTGTTGTAGATCAGCGCTATCTCACACAAAAATTTGGACCCTGGATAATTTTGAGATTTGTTTACAACTTCACTCTAAAACTAATTTGAGAGTTTGTGAAAACATTTAGAAAACTGCAATGTAATGTCCCCCTAATACAGTATTTCAATTTGTTTGTATTGGTTTCACTTATACAGTAATCAAATACTTGGGTTGACTTGATTCCATTTCTCGCATAGAATACAAATACAAACGGTTGATTTTGATTGATTTATTTTAGGTTAATTTACAGTAATTTGACTTGAATTAATTTTCTAAGTTTCTAAGTTTGGTTTTTGTTGTTAAAGTTTTGCGTCTGTTGATTTAATTTTGGTTTTTTTTATTTTGGTTGATTTAATTTTGGTTGATATAACTTTGGTTGACTTTGTTTCTAGTTTGATCAATTGTGGTTTTGGTGAAGGTTGATATTTTGTTCTGGTTGATTGGTTTTAGTTGACGCCATATCAGAAGATTGGTTTATGTTGACTTGATAATTTTGATTTGGGCTGGTTTGATGAAGGTTGATAACCAAGGTTGATTTTTTAGGAATATATGAAAAAATATTCGTCAAATTTAACGGTTTTCGGTTAAACTTGATTTTTAAACCATTAGAAATTTTTTCCCGAAATGGACAGTGACATTTTTTTTTCGACAAATCACGCTCCATATTATTGAGAAGAAGGAAGAACTTGAACAGGAGGATAGGGAGAATGGGGATACATCCGTTCTAAAGTGATGCAATTTTCATTTAATGTTTTTCAGTTGAAATTTTTGCATTTATATGTCTTTCATTAAAATAATAAAATGCCACAGTATTGTGACATAAACAAACGATTTCGGAATTTTAAATTTAGAATTTATATCCACTATATGGATATCCATGGACCAAATTGTATAAATAGTGAGAAATAGTTCAACTTTTGTAGACAAACACAGATATCTGGACAATCGTTTCTAAAAGAACCATTACAAATCGTCAATATCAACTAGATTAAATTTATAATGGTCTTTTTAACTATGGATTATGGATTATAATATTAATCCACTAAACTATGGATTACAATATTAATCCACCAAACTATGGATTATAATATTAATCCACTAAACTATGGATTATAATATTAATCCACCAAAGTATGGATTATGATATTAATCCACCAAACTATGGATTACATTATTAATCCACTAAACTATGGATTATAATATTAAACCACAAAACTATAGATTATAATATTAAACCACTAAACTATAGATTATAATATTAATCCACTTAACTATGGATTATAATATTAATCCACGAAACTATAGATTATAATATTAAACCTCTAAACTATGGATTATAATATTGAACCACTAAACTATGGATTATAATATTAAACCACTAAACTATAG